TTGTGTTACATTGTGTTACATTGTGTTACATTGTGTTACATTGTTACGTTGTGTTACATTGTGGTACGTTGTGTTACGTTGTGTTGTGTTACGTTGTGTTGTGTTGTGTTACGTTGTGTTACGTTGTGTTACATTGTGTTACATTGTGTTACGTTGTGTTGTGTTACATTGTGTTACATTGTGTTACATTGGGTTACGTTGTGTTACATTGTGTTACATTGTGTTACGTTGTGTTGTGTTACATTGTGTTACATTGTGTTACGTTGTGTTACATTGTGTTACATTGTGTTACATTGGGTTACGTTGTGTTACATTGTGTTACATTGTGTTACGTTGTGTTGTGTTACATTGTGTTACGTTGTGTTACATTGTGTTACATTGTGTTACGTTGTGTTGTGTTACATTGTGTTACATTGTGTTATGTTGTGTTACATTGTGTTACATTGTTACATTGTGTTACATTGTGTTACGTTGTGTTACATTGTGTTGCTCTCTTCACAGTCACATATCTGATTCTGTTTCAGAAATTCACAACAATGAGGCAACGAATGTTCCGGATCCAGACCTGAAGGGGACGCAGAAGTGGTCGTCGTCTCTGGACAGCCTGCTGGAAGATCCCGGCGGTGTGGAAGCATTTAAGGTGCGTGATGGTGAAGAGGACCTGTACTGTGACAACAGGCGAAGATGACAGAGGACCCGGTCCCCAGTGTTGTCTGTTCATCTTCTCCCCGTCACCCTGTTACTATACATTGTTCTGCTCTGTGTCTCTGTGTGGAGGCGGCCATCTTGGTAGAGGCGGCCATCTTGGTAGAGGCGGCCATCTTGGTAGAGGCAGGGCTATGAGTCCTTGTGTCAGATTTGCCCTTTTCCCACCTTCACCCCCGATGACCGGAGGGGTAATGATAGAGGAGGAGGAAGAATGGATGAAGCGGGAGCAGGGAGATCCTTACACTGCAGGACCCCAGGTACGGCTTCCCCTCCAGCCAGGACAGCAGAGATCGGCACAGCAGTGACATCACCAAATCTCACTACACATCTGATGGGACTAGAGGTCGGAGGAAGCAGTGCCTGAGATCTCACACTGCAGATACACAGCTGTGAGAATACAGGACAGGAAATGCCCAGGCACAGGAAGTGCAATGACATCAGGAGTGCCCAGACACAGGAAGTGCAATGATATCAGGAGTGTCTAGGCACAGGAAGTGCACTGACATCAATAGTGTCTAGGGACAGGAAGTGCAATGATATCAGTAGTGTTTAGCCACAGGAAGTGCAATGATATCAGGAGTGTCTAGGCACAGGAAGTGCAATGATATCAGTAGTGTCTAGGCACAGGAAGTGCACTGATATCAGGAGTGCCCAGGCACAGGAAGTGCAATGATATCAGGAGTGCCTAGGGACAGGAAGTGCAATGATATCAGGAGTGCCTAGGGGCAGGAAGTGCACTGATATCAGTAGTGTCTAGGGACAGGAAGTGCAATGATATCAGGAGTGTTTAGCCACAGGAAGTGCAATGACATCAGGAGTGTCCAGGCACAGGAAGTGCAATGATATCAGTAGTGTCTAGGCACAGGAAGTGCAATGATATCAGTAGTGTTTAGGCACAGGAAGTGCACTGATATCAGGAGTGTCTAAGCACAGGAAGTGCACTGATATCAGGAGTATCCAGGCACAGGAAGTGCAATGATATCAGTAGTGTTTAGCCACAGGAAGTGCACTGATATCAGGAGTGTCTAGGCACAGGAAGTGCAATGATATCAGTAGTGTCTAGGCACAGGAAGTGCAATGATATCAGGAGTGTCTAGGCACAGGAAGTGCAATGATATCAGTAGTGTCTAAGCACAGGAAGTGCACTGACATCAGGAGTGTCTAGGCACAGGAAGTGCAATGATATCAGGAGTGTCTAGGCTCAGGAAGTGCACTGATATCAGGAGTGTCTAGGCACAGGAAGTGCAATGATATCAGGAGTGTCTAGGCACAGGAAGTGCAATGATATCAGGAGTGTCTAGGCACAGGAAGTGCACTGATATCAGGAGTGTCTAGGCACAGGAAGTGCAATTGTCTCAGAGCAGGAAACCATCCAATGCATTTTGGGGGGATGAAGAGACCCCGATTGTCTCTGTGTCTCCGGGTGAGACAATTCTTACGATTGGGAGATTCTGGACTCTTGGTCATGTTGCGCTCTCATTGGACCGCACATGCGGATCCTCGGTTCTGGGTTACTGGGTCCCCTCGGGAGGTTCCCCATCTAGTGATAATTTATCTGACACGCGGAGGATTTCTACCCGGCGCCTCGCGTTCACTTTCCTTTCGTCCAATCATAGCCGGGGATCAGATGAATGCTGAGGATTGGCTGCTGTAATTTCTTGGAGTTAGTTCCCTCCAATAGGATCGTCTGCGATGATAGAATTGTACAGCTTCTGCCTCTGTTATTGACCCCGGTGGCGTTACAAGGGGGGTGCGGCCCGCACCCGGGTGACACCATTGGAGGGGGTGACCAAGAGCCTGACCGTGTCAGGAGAGAGGAGGGGACCCGGCGGCATGCCTCATCCTCGCCTGCCGGTGGCCATCTTAGTGATGGACGCCGGCAGAGAGAGGCAGGGACGTTCACCTGGCGGGATGAGGTATGCCGCCGGGTCCACTCCTCTCTCTCCATGCCCGAGTGCCAGAATTTTTTAGAGGGGGTGACACCAAAATGACTGCCAGTCACCCCTCCAATGGTGGCACCCGGGTGCAGGCCGCACCCCCCTTGTGACGCTGCTGGGGCCTAGTTTATGATTTTGTCACACGGTGGACATACATTTTATACGAGATGATTGTTGATGGAGGAAGATTTTGTATTTGGTAATTATCGTGAGACAAGCCGCCGCTCTGCCCCTCCCCCCTGCGGGCACAAGCCTTGGGCGTGCCTGACGGTGGATCCGGGTCTGGGTCAGCAGCGGTCCGT